GTTTTTATTACTTAAAAAGCATCATAGCATTTTCCCTAACTCTGGGCTATGCCTTCAAAATGCTCACAATGGTTTCTGCATTTCCAGAAGGAACACATTCTGGATCCTATTGCAGATGCATTTAGCACACTTGGGACCCCTATAGGTGGTGCTGATGTGGTTTCTTGTATGTGTTTGTTTTAGATAATCTCACGAAGATGGTAAGTCTCCCAGTACAAACTCCTGAAGTCTGCCTGAGCATATTCCACACTGGGATTTCTTTCCCAACCTTCTTGGTATAAAGGTAAATAACCCAGGCATTTGGGACAACCTGGTTTTGTCAGAGGCTGTTTTGTAGGAAAGCTGACGACAGTGCCTAATGCTGCATCATTCTGGGTGCCTTTAGGCACTGTGACGGAAGACCTGGTTCATGTTTTATGAGGCTCCATCTCTCAGCCACCTTTCCCTTTCAGTCTGTCTTTTTCCAAGGACACCAGTGTGACTGGACTGAGGGTCACCCTCGTTCATCTGAGGGCCACTCCTACTGATTTTACTGGATTGAGGGATCACTCAGACTCAGTGGGACTTCACCTTAACTAATGTCAGAGTTCCAATTTCCGAGCAAGGATGGGTTCTGAGATTCTGGGTGACGTGAATGGGAGTCATCCCTTCTCTTAGTATGACACCTTTTCTTCTAATTACATTTATCTTGAGTGTGTACATGTCACATGTGGAACTTGGATGACAACTGTGACAGTCAGCTCTCTTCTTCCTCCATGGGAGTCCTAGGGATCAAACTCTGGCCATTAGGTTGGTAGCTAGCTCCTTTACCCACTCAGCCATCTCACCAGCTCCACCCCTTTCTGGTCTAATGTCACACCTTGCTTTCCCAGCCCCTTTCTAATGTCCCACATTGCCCTCTTTGAATAGGGAGGGGGCTGTCCCAGGTATCAGCAGTCCAGGAAGAGTCAGCCAGCTTTGTAAGAGAGACTTGAAGTCTGGGTCCAAGCTGTGAGTGTTGCCTTCCAGGGGAGTAAGGCTGTGGGAGATGAGGCAGCTAAAAGACCTTTGGAACCCCGCCAGCCAACACCTCCCCTTCCTGTGATGGGTCTGTCACAGGGTTCCTTCCGGTACATCCAGCCCTATTCCTGTGTCATCCCTCTCCAGCACAGTGTGTCCTGCATCCAAGGACTCTATTAATATCCCTCATGTGTATGTCACTCCCCATCTTTGCGCTCACATGTGCCGCTATCCCAAGCAATTCATGAATGTGGCCCTTCCCAGTGTGGCTGGCACTCTCCTTCTCTCCTGCACCCCCTCTCTGCTTCCCTCCCCCAACACCCATGGTTGACTTTCCATCATGGGGCCCACACTTGCATTGAGGGGTAGCCTCAAAAGAGATACAGTCACATCTTAACCCAGGCAACGTGGGTGTGGGACTGTATTTGAAAGAAATGTCCTTGCATTGCATATACAATGTAATAAAACATCAGAAAGTAAGGTCACCCTGGCTATAAGGTAGACCTTAAATCCAACAAAGATTGTCTTTTCTTTTTCTGAGACAGGACTTTATATAGCCCAGTTCTCATTGTGTAGCCAAAGATGACCTTGATCTCATGATTGCCCTGTCTCTACATCCCGAGTACTGGGGTAATGGGTGCTTGCTACCTCTTCCAGGATTTGCTGTCTGGGGACCAAATCCAGTGCCTCAGACACTCAGCAAGCACTGTGCCAACTAAGCTACAGCACCAGCCCTTAATGGGGAGCGGGGATTGAGACAGTCTCACTAAGTAGACCAGGATGAACTTGAACTTGCTTTGTGGCTCCAGATAGCCTCACACTTGCAGTGCCCTCAGAGGTTAGAGAAGGCATCAGGCGCTCTGGAACTGGAATTATATATGGTTGCATCATGTCCCCAACACTGCATAAACCAAGAGTATAGTTGTATGTCTGTAACCCCAGCACTGAGAAGGGAGAGCCTGAGTGAGGATCAGGTGTTCAGGGTTATCTTTGACTACACAGTGAGTTCAAGGCCAGCCTGGGTTACATAAGTTCCTGTGGGAAGGAAGGTCTAGAAGTCTCAGACCTGTCCATCCCGCAGAAACCTTTCAGTCTAGAAGCCATGCTTAGTCTAGTAAGAATAAACTGCTTTGCTTCAGACTCCCATTACACAGTTGGAGTCATTAAAGGCTGTTGCTTAAAAAATGACCTGATCAGTGTGTCCCTCTCAGACCTGATCTTTAACACAGGTAGGGGATTTGACAACACCAGTTGTAGGACGTGCTTGAAGGCAAGTGGTTAAAAGTGAGGAGGTCAGGGGCTCTTTCCATAAACTGCTTTGTCTGGAGATCTGAGGAACAGACAAAGAAGCTGGCTCACAGAGGCAGAATCTACTTCCAGGTCCTCTGGAGTCACCTGGGTCTGTTTTAAACAATGGAAAAGAATGGAGGAGACACCATGTTGGTTCCAGGCCCAGACCGTACCAGGAGTTACAAGCAGTTGTAAGCAGCCATGTAGGTTTTAGAAACTGAACCTGGGAGCTGGGCAGTGGTGGCGCACGCCTTTAACCCAGCACTCGGGAGGCAGAAGCAGGCGGATCTCTGTGAGCCGAGCCCAGCCTGGTCTACAAAGTGAGTTCCAGGACAGCCAGGGCTCTGTTATGCAGAAAAACCCTGTCTCAGACAAAAAGGAAACTGGACCTGAGTCCTCACCACTGCCATTAGAGAGCTCAGGCTATCCACAAGAAGAGGGGCACACAGAGTGACAACTGATCGAACATCCTGTATCTGTTCCGGCCACTGTCCCCCAGATGGTGTCTAGAAAAGTCTTTAAGACATTCCAGCAGCTGTCACCCGGTCACATGCTGAAGAGAGACAGCAAATGGGAGCCCCACAGCAGAAGCCTAACAAATGTCACACTGGTGGATACACTTGAAAAACTGTCATTGTAGGCCAGTACCACTTGGGTGACTTTGTATGTAGAAGACAATTACCCAAACAGTCAAACAGTGGGAGTGTGCCTCAAGAACAGAACTCGTGGTGCAGTGCATGCCTAGGAGGCCTGAAGCCCTGGGTTCAGTTTCCAGCCAGCATAAAACAGGCCTGGTGGTGTGCACCTGTGGTCCCCAGGAAGAGCTGGCATTTTAGGCAGCCTGGGCTATGAGACTCCGTTTCGTACACCAGCCATTTCAAGCGCCTACCGCCGCGACTCGCCTGCTGTGGCACAGGCTGAATGACGAGAATGCTGACAGAAACGTGGACAGTGGACGCCATCTCAGAGGGCAGCATGGGCTCTATTAGGAACTTGGCTGGAGGCCATTTGTATGACATTTTGGCCAAGAACCTGGATATGTTCTGTCTATGTCCTGAGAACTTAGTGAAGCTGGATTTGGGGGAGGTAGGCTGGTTGTTTCTCAGAGGGAAATTGTGTGAGAAAGATTAGTGACCCGGTGCTCTGCACCAGGGTGGTAGTAGGAGATGTCTTGAGGTTTAAAGGCTTCAACTCATCACAATGCAAACTCATCTACAAGGAGAAGCCCTGAGCGGAGACTGGAGCTGAAGGGGTTCTCTGCCCCTCAAAAACAACTGTCTAGGAGACTGTTTTCCCAGGATTGGAACACAAGAGCTCATGTAAACGTGGGTCCCAGGGACTCAGGCTCCACCCCAAGCTTGCAGAAAAACCTGATAGCTGTCTTCAAATGTGACTGGTTTTGGAGTCATGAGCTGCTGCTGCTCTTTCTTTCTTTCTTTCTTTCTTTCTTTCTTTCTTTCTTCCTTCCTTCCTTCCTTCCTTCCTTCCT